GTGTGTGTGTGTGTGTGTGTGTGTGTGTGGGTGTGTGTGTGTGTGTGTGTGTATATGCGTGTATATATATATATATCTATTTTTTTTTCCGGAATTTTCAGAAAAGTCCACTTTCATCTCTGCAATATCTATCATCCATGAAGTGTGATCTGCTGATACTAATCACATGAGTAAAGTGTAAATTTTTAACTACAACTACCTTTTGGCCAAACAAAAAAGATGGTGTGTTTCAGGTAACATGAAATTTAAGCATAGGGTCGGTAGGTAGGACAAAGTTTTTTTTTTTTCTTTTAATCTTTTTATTTTTTTTTCTCATCAAAAATTTAAACAAAATAACCCTAAAACATAAAACATTCTGACTGTTTCAGAACTCAAAACCTGTTAGTATCGCTTTGGCACACGAGACACAACTTGCTGGTAACAAGTAGAATTATTTCAGCTTTGCCACCATGCCAAAAGGTCGCTGGCCAACAGGCACAATTCTCATTTTAATTATGTGCTGCAGTCGATGTAAATAAGTTTATATAACGCAACATACAATTTTACAAAAATTGTCAAAGTATTATTCCTGAATATTTATTTTACTTTCAACCACTCGACATGTTCAGTGGCATCAGTGCTATACATACACATATAGTTCCTATTCTTGTCTTTGTATTTTTGCCCTCTATGGACAATAAAAGCGGAATTGTGCTATGACCAAAACATAAATATAAATCTATATAAATAAAACATGAATTGGAATATTTCATATCACACAATTTTTATGCTTTGTCTTTGATTTAAAGATGACAATATGCAAAAATCTACAAAAATTGTAGAAATTGTAACACATGGGTTACCACAGTCCCTACGTAATGGTAACATAGTTTTGTAAAGTTTGGTTAGGTCAGGATCAGTTTCTGCATCTCCATTTCCACAATTGCTGCAGATATCCATCCTCCACAATTTGGAACTGTAATATGCAGGGATGAGATTTTTCCGCTTTTTGGCGGAATTCCGCTTTTTTTCCAGTCAAAATGGACCTATTTTATCTTGTTTCAAATCGGTAAAAGAATTATAAAAAAGAGGCGTGTTCCGGACTTGTCTGGGGCAGATTCGGGGCTCGTAATGTTTACAAGTAACGTTTGCAAGCATCCATTTTGAATCCCGTTTATTATCGCGAAGCGTTTGTTTGTCGTTACTTCCTATATGGGCTAAAACCAATGTCTTCTTACTTGTGATTGGTCGCTATATCGGCAAATGCAAATCACAACCAATCCGTGTTCGCCTTCCTAAACCCCTTTCTCGCGAATGCCGAATGTTATCGAGACTCGTGACGAAGCTAAAGTGCGTCAGATAGATGCGGATCTGAAAAACACGTTTCGATGGGACTGTTTGGATAGAAAGCTGACGGTGTCCCCAGTAGGAAACAGTAAAGAGGAACCATTGTGCTTCTGTCGGATTTCGTGAAAAAGCTCGATGTCGACGGTAAAGCTCTGTGTACAGTGTGTGACGATGTCATTCT